CAGTTGTCCCCCTCCTACAGTGCTGCTATTGCCAGTATCACTCCACCCCGTTAACAATAGGTGTATCAGTCACATGGAGGCAGGGCTTAAAAGCCTGAATTTTGCCTGAAACTCTCAGACTGAAGAAGTCTCTTGGAGGAGAGACGAAACGTTTCATTAAAGAAGAACCCGTCCAGAAGACCTATACAATTTTTACTTTTTGCATAAATATTGTTTAAGACTTCTGCATTAGACATTAGATGTTAGACGTTAGATGTTAGACATTAAACATTAGACATTAGACGTTAAATATTAGACATTAGACATAGATGTTAGACATTAGACGTTAGACATTAGACGTAAGACATACAGTAGATGTTAGATGTTAGACATTAGACGTTAGACATTAGACATAGATGTTAGACATTAAACATTAGACATTAGACGTTAGACGTTAGATATTAGACATAGATGTTAGACATTAGACGTTAGACATTAGACATAGATGTTAGACATTAAACATTAGACATTAGACGTTAGACGTTAGATATTAGACATAGATGTTAGACATTAGACGTTAGACATTAGACATAGATGTTAGACATTAGATGTTAGACATAGATGCTAGACATTAGACGTTACACATTAGACGTTAGACATTAGACATAGATGTTAGACATTAGACGTTAGATGTTAGACATTAGACATTAGACGTTAGATGTTAGACATAGATACTAGACATTAGACATTACACATTAGACATTAGACAGTAGACGTTAGATGTTAGACATTAGACGTTAGACATTAGACATTAGACATTAGATGTTAGACRTTACCTGCGTTGGCTCTGGTGAGGGCTAATCCTCCTCCAATAGGAGCGAGGGGTTTATTTACAGGGTTTGACGAGTTCTCCCACAGTTCCCGCAGCGTCATTCCCCCAAACTCATTATTTCCAATTTGATTCCTGCCAATCAACCCTTAAAGCAAAAATCCAAAAACAATGAGAAAGTGGAGCTATAGAGCCAAATCGTAGTTTTTCAGGGAGAACAGAGCTCGTCCAGCCTTAGTTTGTCTCACCAGGCAGGTARCGTGACTGGCTGAGATAGTGCTGCCGTGCCGCAGATCCGGGAAGACTGGGATCCATTTGTCCAACCTTAACATTGCTGGGTATTTTGGTGACTGTGCTGAATGAGTATAGAGGTGTTTGCTCCTTGGGCCTGAAAACAAAATTCAGACAAWTAAAATGTGTAATAGGGCTGGGCAATTGATCAAACATGTAGTTTCACTTTTMGCTCCATTCATAGCAACAGAAACTTATTGAAATATTTTGCCACGTTTTGCTTTGTGAACAAGCTCTCGCTTCATTAATGAGGCGTAACTCTGTCCCCTGCTGCAGCTAAATGTGTGAGATGAGAAGGGATCTTTTAAATATTTAGAAAGCATGACATTTARTGTCAAGTTTATAACAAAAAGCCTATGATTTGGGAGAACAGCTTTTCAGTAAGTTAGTTGGCAAATGAAAGGACCTAACTGGGAAAAATGTAACGACACGAACAATCAGTCAGATCAAAACAGAAGAGAGCTAGCATTATTTAGAAGTTCAACAAATGTGAAAACATATTGGAAAGAAGACAGATGTGTGTTTATGACAAAATGTGTAGCTTTGTGTGCAAAATACATTTTTAAAAATTCAAGAATTTCACTATGGTTTGATGTGCATCTTGTTTATGTTTTATTTGAGTGGTGGATTATGCAAAATCAAMCTTTTTGATTGTTGCTTTGACTCATTCATGCATGTTTGAGAAATCCTCGAATCTCATGTGGTAGCCATGTGGAGCTGCAACATTTACTAGTACAAAGGTCCTCCCAGGAGCTCATTACCCAGCGTAGYTCCCACCCCACAGAGCACTCCCCCATCGAAGCATTGTTGTGAAGTGGGAGTGTCAGAAATGGTAGKAATTTTCTTAAAAGGACAGAGGCCAGTTTCAAGGCGTTTAGATGGGCTATGATGCAAAAGTCAAATTTGTTTTTGACAAGAATATACACCATTTTCATTACAACTGAAGGTAACAAAGTTTCTTGACTGGTATTGCCCCCCTTGATGTAGTTTAAGGGCTCGACACACAGGAGGCGATGTCGCTCCCTCTCCATTCATTTTTTTTCCTATGGAACTTGTGTAAAAAGATGACAATTGCTTGCCCTCCTCCAGCCAAGCGACCGCCAAAACTCGTTTGTGAAATTTCACGCTCGTAGACGTGCAACCGCGAGCTTGCGACGCAACCCAGCAAAGTTGAAAAATGTTCAGCTTTTGTCGCTGTCGCAAGGCGCTACAACCAATCAGAGAGGTTTTCACTGACTGACCAATGAGCGGAGAGTATGCTACACACTGGAGTTAGCTAACACTTTCAACGTTATTTTAGCTCTTTCAAATTTTCCAATTTTATATCACACTTACAGAAATGATTACTAAGATACACATAAAAAGGCAGCCATACGGGAATTTGTTGGTGCCAGGGTGAAGTTGTCCAGTAAGGTTTTCCTCATAAAATTGTTACATCTTTTTTTTTTTTTTACCAACCACCAATAGACTTTACAAGAAGCAGTAGAAGAACCAATCAAATTTCTTGAAGATAAGTGACCTGAGAGTGCCGCTCCCCGTGTGTGGAGCCTATTAAGGGCTCGACACACGGGAGGCGACGTTGCTCACTCTCCATTAATTTCCTATGGAGCCTGTGCGGTGAGGCGACAATCGCTTGCCCTCCTCCAGCTAAGCGACCGGCGAAAATAGTGCATGTGAAATTTTGCGCTCGTACACGTAGACGTGCACACGCGAGCATGCGACGCGACATATGAAAGTTGAAAAATGTTCAACTTTTGTCGCTGTCGTTTAGCGTACAACCAATCAGCGAGGGTTTCATTGACTGACCAATGAGAGGASAGTATGCTACACACTGCCGTTAGCTAACACTTTCACCAAGTGATTACTAAAAAGCTTTGTGGGAATTTATTGGCACCAGGGTGAAGTTTATGGTAAGTTTATCCTCATAAAACTGTATCTTGATGTGTGTTTGTTTTTCAATATCACTAGCATCGCAAGATTTGTTTAGTTTACACGTCCGTAATGCACACCCGCCTTCAGAGTCAAGAACCAATCAAATTTTGTGAAGACAAGCGATCTGAGAGCGCGATTCGCAACGCTGCGATCGCTATCGCGTCCCGTGTATTGGGTTTCACCCTGGCTGCGATGACAGCCGTTGTTCGCTGTAGTTTGTCGCTGCCCGTGTGTGGAGCCCATTAGAATGCCTGTACAGATGTTGGCACACTCACTGTGGGCAATGCTCTTTAGGGCTCCTGTTCTCTGTGTTCCCCAGGCTGGGCTTCTTGGAGTTGGAGGCAGCAGTTTCTGATTGGTCCGATTCCTCCCAGCTGTCAGACGTCTTGGCGACCGCCTGGCCCCAGCGGCGGCGGCCGCTCTTCAGGAAGCCTATCCCGATGCCTCCGTTTTCACTGTCCTGTGATGCCATCTTCTGCAGAACACCATCAATTTCAGGCTAATGAGGAATCTAAATAGCATTTACTTGGAAGTGGAGACTTCCTTTCATTATTTTTAAATTGAATTCAACATCTTGAAATGTAAATCCATGATTCGATAAAGCCACTCACTGCATGGCCAGGGCCTCCTGATTTACCATCCACRTCAGGCAGCGGGTTCTGCTGAAGAGGCTGCTGCTGATTTCTCGAGGACGATGTGGAAGCTTTGGACTCAGAGGAAGACTGAAGAGGTTCTGTCTTTGCGTCAGAGAGTTGTTTCTGAACCAGAGGCCTTGCATGGACCTTTTTGACCTCCTGGCTCTGAGGTCGAGGCCCCAAGACTTGTCCTACCTTGAAATAAGGGTAACGCAGAGCCTAGCCACGGAGAAGAGGGAGAAACAAAATGCTGTTATTCTGAACATTTTAGAACTAATCTGTCAGGTCTGACAAGATTCCATCTTGCTTACCTGTACAGCTGTGGGCCTTTTTTTGGGGTCCCACTGCAGGAGGTCTTTCATCAGTGTAATAGCTTCATTGCTGGCATTTGGGATAAGGGTCTTCAGGTGGGTGGGCACACATTGGGGGAAGCGGAAATTCATAGCAGATGCTAGGTGGTAGCCCTCTGGCCAGTCAGTCTAAGTTTTAGAGACAGTAACACCCATCAGTGGCCAAACCAAGTTTTTATAAAACAACATATTATTGTTATTAGTATAAGCCTGTGAACAAAAAATGACAATAAATAAAATTAATCATAAACCCAATTCTATCATTTGGTACTTCCTTTGAACATATACTTAAAAGAAAAACAGGAAATTATTTTTACAGCCTATATATGTGAGCCATCACAACAAAGGATTAAGTCAAATTTGATCAAAATGACGTTGGCACATTTTCAGATTTCTGYTTTTTAAGCTACATTTTGACACATTGATCATCCTGATATCATGAGCAGTTCCAGATATATGACTTAATATGTCATGTTAATCACAATTAATATTTAATCTTATTTTTAGGTTATTCTAATGATGATTTTTTTGATGTCATTTTAAAAGAAGAAACCTAAAATTCATTCAGATGATATATTGATAAGGTATTTATCTATTATGTTTTGACAAACTGCAATTATTGCAATGTTATATATCATAAATGATCTATTTTCTTTACCCACTTTTCCACCAAAGTAAGGTTTAGAAGTGAGRTCTGTTTGCTGTCATAGAAAGAGTGAAATACCTTTCTGTGGGAAAAAAAATTAGCGAGAAAACACAACTTGTATTTTGCATCTTTTTACAAAAGGGGACAGTCTGCAACCATGAAAGTAGATTAACAAAAGACTGGAGCCATAAGACATCTGTCGAGCTTTAAGTCCTCAGTTTATCAGTACTGGAGTCAAAACATTGGTGWCATTTTACAATAAACAGAAGAACTGTCTGAGTCTAGAACTCTATCTGCAGGTAGGAGTTTTGGACAAATGGTCTATCCTTGGTTAAAYGGTTTTTATAACCTTTTTCCAACCTCTCTGTTTCTGAAGTGTYTTGTTCCCATCTGATTCTAGATTTCTTTACAATTCACTAACATGCAGTAATAACAGAGTCTACTTTCCTCTCACCTTTTTCACTGTGCCCAGGACTTGGCAAATCTTAAAGATCTCATCCACTTCACTATTTCCAGGAAAAAGAGGTCTGAGTGTGTAGAGTTCTGCCATGATGCAGCCCACAGCCCACAGGTCAATAGGAGAGGTGTAGTTAGATGATCTGAGCAGGACCTCAGGGGCTCTGTACCTGGATAACGCATAATACAGGATTTAAAAAACCCACAGGTGCATGGGGAAAACAGGATTTAAACAATTCCCTTTAAAAATGAATATTGGTCTTGATACAACAAAACTGCATAATAAACTGTAAGTTCTTAGTGTTTTATTTTTACAAAATTGAGCACAAAGTAAAGGAAGACTTCTCACCATCTGGTCGATACATAATCTGTGTAAGGAGGTTTGGAGCGGATCTCTCTGGCCAGTCCAAAATCTGCTATTTTGACCAGTTCTGGACCCATGCATAACAGATTCTCTGGCTTCATGTCTCGATGGAAAAAACCTGCACAAATCATTATAATGTCACACCTGGTCATCAAAATTATCTTTAAAAAAARGGGTTTTCAAAAAACATCTAGTTATAAATGACTATAATCAACAAAGAATTGGGATTGAAAAGTTGAAAGTAAAAAAATATGCTTCGACAAAATAAAAAAAATTATGTCAGTATGTATTATTTTCATGCATTTTACAGAGGCTACACAGAATAATACAAACATTGTTACCCATGGATATAATGACAAGATTATACGACAAACTAAAATGCTAAAAGGAGTTGTTTTTTTTTTCTTGGAAAAAACAATTACAAAATGCAAAGGAAAGCCTCTTACCATGCTTGTGTACAAAAGCCAACCCAGACAGCACTTGGAATATGATGTTCCTAATTTCATTCTCTGTGAACATCTTATTCTCTCTACCAGCAAACCAAGGAWTAAAAAGAAGGAAGGAAAGATAAAAGAGAAGTTGAAGCAAAACATTTAGAAGAGAAAAAGTTAAGGTAGGACATGCATTTTGGATGAGAGGATACATGAATACTGAGCGTATTTGCTTATATGTCCAAACAGTTTTTTCTTCTGTCAAGTTTCTGATGAAATATAATCCATCATCTAAATAAAAGTACTTTRATCAAATGTTTTAATGTGAGCATCCACACATCCAGTTATTACACAGATAAAATAAAGCAGAAAAGCGTTTTATCAACACACRTCTGGAGGGTTCACATACTACAAGACTCCAAAGAGAACTGTTCAATCCACCAAACATTTTTAATCATTGAATGCAATCAAATGTAGCGCAGCTTCATAGAGTAGTTCGGGTAATCAAGGTCTTAAATAAAATGATATATATTTTTTTCCCTTTTAAGTGAATCTTGCAGGATGAAAACCCTCTCGTAGATTTGGAGTGCAGCACGGTACACCTACCATGTTTGTGAATAAAAGACAGGCCTTGCAAAATCTGAAAGCTTATGTTTCTTATCACTGATTCGGGAAACAATTTTTTTCTGTGAATATAAAATCAATATATAATTCTTAAAAGCATTCTAACAAAAAAATATATCAGAACAAAGTGAATTCTGGTAGAGTTTACTAGTGTGAACAGATGTAAAACACCGCAGAAGGTCTGATGTGTTTCCGCAGATATACACACTTGGAAGTTTCCAAACCAGTAAAAAGCATCAAGACCTCCTCCAGAGACCATGTTCAATCAGGTAGCAGCTGTTTTCTAAATGTAGTGCGAGGTGGAAACTCCTGACTGCATGGAAATACTGATGCTGGAAACACTACTGTGTCATTCAAAACAGGGCAAATCCTTAATGGCAATAATAAATGTCTAAATTCGTATTTATAAAAGTGGCTTTCATATGTATGGTGAATTTGTCACAAATACTACACCACACTGTTAAACAGCTGAAAAAGCTGACTGTGAYGTTCCTTTTCTCACCTGTCCTTCATCAGCTGGTACAGGTTCTCTTTCATGTACTCGAAAACAAAGTAGAGGTGATCGTTCTCCCTGATAACCTCCTTCAGTTTCACTACATTTGCATGGTTCAGCTTCTTCAGTGACTGAAGTGAACGATAATGTGGAAGACAGGAGAAATAGAAAGTTTCAGAACATTATTTTTTGCCATCTTTAAAAAGYAAAATATCAAAATGGTTTGAATATCTGGTTATGTTTCTAAAGAAAGGTCTTCAGATGGTTGAAGGTATCATTCTCCACTCAAAGGTGTTAAGGGACCCCTATATAAGTTGCAAAACATCATAATTTAATTGAATCATTTCCCTAATAAAGTACTGTGTGAACTGCTTCAATGTATGAGCTGCTACCGATAAATACCATCCATACCTTCACTTCTCTGAGGTTTATACATTCATCCCATGAATAAAACTTTCTCTTCATCCTAAGAAAAACAATGAGAGAGAAAAACAAGCTTCTGATATTCATAGATGCACGCGAAAAAGAATATGCAATGATAAAATGCCACAAAACTATATCCAATACATGATATATTGCTGTCTTTACAAAATGTATCTGTTATTTAATTAATAATTCAGATGTTTTGGTGTGTCTCGGATTGCAGCATGTTTTGGTTTTTCTGTTCTGGAAACGTTAGGCTAACCTTTTATGTTTAGTTTTTAGAAYTTTTAACCTTGAGTTAGTCTTTTGCTTCTTTTTAATTTTTAGCTAGCCTTTTACAACGTTACCTAGMTATTTGATACTTTTAGCTCTAAATAGCCATTTCACTTTTAGCTTTTGCTACTTATAATAATCGTATGTTGCTACTTTTAACTAGTCTTTWGCTACTGATAGCTTTTAGCCAGCCTTCTGCTTGTCTTTTGATACTTTCAGCTTTTAGTTTTAGCTAGATTTTTGACACTTTTAAGTTGCCGTTTGCTACTTTTGGCTAATAGACTATGGCTATTTATTGCTTTTACTTAGTGTTTTGCTACTATTAGCTTTTAGGTTTTGTTTTTTTGTCTTTTAGCTAGCACTTTTCTTCTTATAACTTGTAACTAGCATTACGCCTAACAGAGCTTTTAGCTAGTGTAAAAAATATTCAGTTTCATCTTCTCCGGCGAAGTAATTCAGGACTAACGTTTTGCACTGTAGTTTTGCAGAAAACAAAATTTCTCTGGTTCTAAACTGGTTTAACCGAGTGTTTTGAAGTGTCAGTTAAATCTAATACCCATTTTCACAAAACAGACTGTCAGTTTGATAGTCTTGCGTTGCTCTGTGCATGGAAGCAAAACATCATCAGCCAGCTCTTAGCTTGTCTCTTCAACATAACCTCTGAAGTTACATCACCAAGTGAGCGCCTCTCCTTTTTCACCTCATCTCCTCCACATTACAGCAACCGGACACCCCCCTCCCTCCTCCCCCCCACTCCACTTTCACTGCCTTCAACCATCGCCACATGTATTGTCTTGCGTGGTAACCAAAGGGCCAACAAGTGGACGCATCTCCCCGGTTTCTTGTCTATTATTGAATGCTGCGAGTGCGTTGCAGACGCAAGACAACGTAAACAGGTTTGTTTGCTCTGCAGAAGGCAAGAAAGGTGAACAAGACAAAATATTCAGAGCTTGGGCTTTTATTTTATGTTGCACCTGCTGCGTAAGACTGCTTAGGACAGCAGAAAACGTTGACAGAAATAACAAGCCTCATCTAGAATATGTGAGGAGACTAGTCATGGTCAAATTTTGGAACTATTACCTTGTCATTAACTTTTCCAGATCTTCACTGAGTGGTTCATCAAACTAATTGTACAACTCCATACACTATTGTTGTTCTTAAAAATTGGACCCCTGTAACCCTTATACTCAAACATTTTCTCCTTTCAAAAATAATAATTGAGCCAACATTCTCATTTATTATAATAAATAAGCATTAACTTGGTATCCATTAGATTTGACTCGATTTTAATTGTAGCATCATTGAGCAGTTATGCGAAATATCACAATATAGCACTTTTATAGCACTTTTTATTAAATATCTTGGGTAAGGCAAGAATAACAAGGAAGGAAAATATATTTTTAATTTTTTTAACATTAAACACTCACTTCTTGATGGCCACGAGTTCTCCAGACTCGTTGCTTCGCCCCATCAGCACACAACCATAAGTGCCATCGCCCAGCTGCCTCAGGGTGGTGTAGCGATTCATCGTCTCTTAGTACGTTGACTCATTCATCAAAAGTCTTCTCTGTTCTTTAAGAGTTGTGTTGTTCAGTGTTCTTCCTGTTGCCTTTTCTCCAGAAGAGTTCAGTTGGTCGTGTCCAAAATGGGGAAATTTATATTGTCCATCGTGCTACAAATTCAACGAGTCTGGAGTTTAAAGCCTGTCTTTTTGGTTCATGGTTAGAAAGGTTGGATCTTGAAGGAGTTGTTACCTCAGCAGCTAAAAAAATAGAAGACATAAAAGATAAGAAATGTGTAAATACAATCTCTTTTTCTAAAGTATGACCGCGAATGATGCGAGGATCACTTCTTCCTTTTCCCCTAAGTGAGGAGGATCAGGTGCTCGAAGCATTAAGCTTCGACATGAATGGCCCAAGGGTGATGGCACAGACGGATTAGGCCAGGAGAGATGTAAATAGGGTGTTACATCATCAACATGTTTACTGGCTGTCCCCAAGCTACACCCTGCCTGCCTGGCAAGAGAATTTGATTGATGCCCTCAAATGTTGAAATAAACCTCCATGAGTGTCTTTTTTTTAATCATTTGCAGGGTCTACAAAGGCTGAGAAGTAGGGCAGGTTGAGCGTTAATCTGGAAGTCTGATCAACAGCTCCTCAGATTTAAAGTTGTGTATTTGGGGGCATCAAGCAGGTGAAATGTGTTGTTAGGAAGAAGACATGCATGCAGAAAAAAACTCTTAAGAGTGAGCAACTCAAGTGATTACATCCATCCATTAATCGATTATATTCCACTTGTTCCAAAGTCGGGTCGGGGGCAGTAGTTTGAGTAGGGAGGCCCAGACATCTCTTTCCAAATCTTTTCCAGCTCTTTTGGGAGGACTCTAAGACGTTCCCAGGCCAGTCTAATGACGAGTGTCCTGGGTCTTCTCCTCCCTCCCTTGGTAGGCATCCAGGGGGCATCCTTACCAGACGCCCGACCACCTCAACTGGCTTCAACTTCTTGATATAGAGGAGCAGTGGCTCCACTCCAAGTCTCTCCTGGGTAATTGAACTACCCTATGGAAAAAACTCTTTTCGACAACTTCTATCCGCAATCTTGTTCTTTCGATCATCACTCAGAGTTCGCGATCACAAGTGAGAGTAGAACGTATGAGGTGTAGAAAGCACGACTTCTGGTTGAAGTGGAACTGCTGTTGCTCAGTGAAGAGGACTCTGAAACAGGCTGGTTGAACAGCAAGAATCTTTATTTTTGCAGTCCAGGGGTCGGATTTATAAAACTGACGTACGCACAATTTGAGCCCAGAAACTTGCGTACGCCACTTTTTACGCCAAGGTTGTGATTTATAAAATCCAAACTTGACGTGAAAATGTGTGGTGCCTCT